GTACTCTCTTATTGATAATCCGGAATCTTATCGGGGTTTAGTTAGAAAGATGATGTACTTGACTATCACTAGGACTGATATAACCTGTGCTGTTAATCGGCTATGTCAGTTCACGTCTGCACCTAAGAAATCTCATCTTCGAGCAGCACACAGAGTGATGCATTACTTGAAAGGCAGTATTGGTCTTGGTCTCTTTTATTCAGCAGATTCTGACCTATGCTTAAAAGCTTTTACGGATGCTGACTGGGCTTCATGCACTGATACTAGAAGATCTACTTCAGGTTATTGCATGTTTTTGGGTCCATCCCTTATCTCGTGGAAGACCAAGAAGCAGCCGACTGTTTCACATTTCTCCACTGAATCTGAATACAGGGCTATGAATTTTGCTAGTCGTGAAGTTCAATGGCTCATCAATCTCCTAAGTGAGCTACAAGTTCCTCAGACTAAGCCAGTTGCTTTCTTCTGTGATTCCACTTCTGCAATCAATATCGCCAATAATCCAGTCTACCACAAGAGAACAAATCACATAGAGCTTGATTGTCACCAAGTTCGGGAAATGATTGATAGAGGACTCATCAAAACACTTCATATTCGAACTGACTTCCAACTTGCAGATGCTTTCACAAAGCCTCTCTTCCCTGCAGTTCAAGAAGTTAATGGGCAAGATGTCTCTCCTTTCAGTCTTTGTGCCATCTTGAGGGGGAATAATAGGAGTATGGTTTACTTTGGTTTAATTGAATTAGTCTCGATATGATGTATACCAGATATATGATGTACTATATATCGTATACCATGTAACAAACTTTCCCACACTCAATACAAGGACATTTTCTCTCTTTTGTTCGTCTTCTTCTTCTCTCATGATAACTCCAATAAGAGTTTCACAACAGATACTATCCTCCATCTCTAAAAAGGGATGTTGTTATGGTTGCTTTTAGATAATTGATATACTTATATTATCATATTTGAAGGACCATTCCAATGAAGGGAAATACACATTTTAAATTAAGGAGGCACTAAAAACTTTGGATGTGCACATTTTCTCCCATGTAATCCAGTGAATGCCATTCCTATTCAAACCTAAGATCTACCGAAACTTGGCAATATAGCAAATTAGTAATAGTTAAATTTTTGCAGATGTCTAGAAGAAGACATAAACTAGACATGACATAGTTATATAACCTTAATATATAGACTGACACAATGTGTATTTGGTTTATTACCAATTTTTGTTTAATATCTAATTGGATATACTTATCTAAAAACGAAAACAAGTTTATAGAAGAACATTAAACTATTAAGCTACAACAGCCTCAACAATTTTGAGAAGAAAAAAAAACAGATATCGGAAAATATGTTTTGTATTTGGGTTTTGGAGGAGGCTAAGATATAGGGGCATTGCCAACAGTTGGTCTACTTGTTGATTTTGCTATCACAGCTTTAAGTCTTGCTTTTGATAGAGCTACATATGAAAATATTCTCCTTTTTATCATCTTTCTCTCTGGAAGTGTTCTAATCTGGTTGTTCTGAGATCAGAGATTTAATCTAAAGTGAGAGATATGTAGTGAACATAAACATATGATGGATCCTTGATCCAATGAAAAGATTCACTATACACCAATAACCAAGTTGGTGATGGTATGTTAAAGGGACTATACCTTTTTCTGTGAAAGAAACTACCAGAAAAATATGGCCACCACAAGAAGGTGATAACTATGCATGTTCTAACTATTTAACAAATTCAACTATTCAAGCACTAAGCATGTGTCTTATGAAACTCATAAGAGGTCTATAGAGGTCTATAGTCACAGAAATTCAATGAACAATGATGCACTAAGAAATAACTCAGACATGAATAGCTAAAACCTCTTTGATTGATTACTAGCAATCAAAACGAGGAAATGTAATGTGATTGAATATGTTGGGTTTGTCAGTTTGCCAAATTGTTCCTCTGAACGCAAGATAATCATTTTCTTCAGCGTTTTACAAAGTCTTTTTTGCTATGTTCTCCAAAGAAACAACGTACATTCGTTAGACTCCACTCTATTGACTTGGCTACCAACCTCCAATATTAGATATATATATATATATATAACTTCTCACGAGAACTCCAAAAATAGGATGTCTAAGCACTTCCAATGCAGTGCACTTATAGTGCAGTGAGACTATAAATAAACCCTGAGCATCGAAAGGTGATCTGCCACACAATTCTCAATACCTTTCTTGTTTTTGACTTCCATATCAAATTCTTGAAGCAACAAGACCCATCTGAGCAATTTTGGCTTATCATCTATCTTGGCCATAAGATATCCCAAAGCAATTATTTGATAAAGTAAGACCACAATTAATAGTCACATATGGTGGTACATCTTATGAGAAGCTTTGAGTTTTCCCCAATGCTTGGTTTAAGGCAACCCGATTGAATGGTCGAATTGAGTATGTTTCTCAGTATCCAATATTTCCATTTGACCAATTGAGTAACAATATTACCATCAAATTAATTTATTTTTCTATACTGAGAGGTATTTAGTTTTCCCACATTAAACTCATTTAGCAGTTCATAAAGTTAGAAGTCATTTACAGGTTGAACCTGTGGTACGTGAGGACATGCCGGTCTTTGAAGTTTCTCATGAATCAAAGGGTCTTACCACATGCCCATATAAGATTCAGAAAACCTTTTGTCTGATACCTAACTGCAATAAGGGTTTTTAACAAGGATGATATATACTTGATCCATCCATAAGAAGGGATGTTGTAGTAGTTGCTTTTAGAGAGCTGCTAAACCTATATTATCATTATTGAAAGATCCTTTCAATGAGGGGAAAGACGTGTTTTGAAGGAGGTACCAAAGCCGTTTTGCCAATGAGGTCATATTAAAGTTAATTAATCGCACGAAACACAGCTCTTTCATAAACTTTTGGGAAAACGTATAATGAGATATAAGTGAGCTTATGCTGACATTTACAAACTCAGTTGTGTGTAGGCAAGCGTTTGGTATAAACAAGGGTTAAGGCTAAAACACCGCTTACTTTCAGTATAAAGTATCCGATTTAGGGGTTGGCTAGTCCTGGTTTGGAGCTCTAGGACATTCAAAGATCCTTTCTTTGATGTATAACGAGGATGGGGAAGAGATGAAGATGTTCATAGAGATTCTTTATGGGAGTCAAAGCCTTTTTGGAAGATTTTTTCTCTGATATTTCCCTTATAATCGCTAAGTTCTCCATGATCTAACAAGCCTCATAGCTTATATGAAGGACTGTTTCGAGAGGCAAGACACTTATATGCAAGAGAGATTATCAATGAGATGCCTGATCCCAATAGGGTTAAGCTTGAAACCGAGAGCATGATCGATCTCTTGATGGAGATCTCCACAGATCAACCATTCGCCTCCCCGTTCACTCTGGAGAATGTCAAAGCCGTGGTCTTGGTACGTAAAACATCTCTTTCCTTTTTGTTATCTATGATGCATTTGCTTGCGTTACAAGTCTTCGTTAGCTTGTGTTTCACTCTTCCTTTTGTTCTTTGTTTCAAAAGAATATTGTAGTGGCGGACTGGCAGGAACGGACAGGCAGCTTGGTGCGCCGGCGGTTGTGTGGGGGGGGGGGGGGATGACGTATTTAATGAAGTGACACCAAACGAGATCAACATGGATGTTATAACTAGTCTCGCTATGCACAAGTTAGAGCATCTCAAGCTTGTCCCACATCCAGAAAGTAAAACTGACAGTTTCATTTGCAATTTTCATTGATGTATTTCGGGATTCTTATCAATATGACTAGATTGCTACCAAAAAATAGAACTAATTTTTGATGTTGTATCTTTGTTACAAAATAAACCTCATCTACCATGGTTGGAAAGAAGAAGAAATACGTCAGCTGGTCACTGATGAAGATGCTGAAACCATTTTCTCTATGCGGGTTGGTTCACGGGATTCTGCTGATTTACTGGGTTGGGAATATACCAAAACTGGTATATATACAGTTAAATCTGCATATTGGTTGGCTACTCATTCACCTAAAGGTCACAACATAATAGCTCTTCCGGGTAATCGTCATCTCAAGTCTTTGATATGGAAATTGAACACTGCGGAAAAAGTTAAGCACTTCATATGGAAATTGGTATCCTCTGCTTTACCAATTGGAGAGTGTTTGAAAAGACGACATATAACTCGTAAGTTCCGATGTCCTCGGTGTTTAAATGCAGGACAAAAAACTACAGAACATTTATTCTTCGAGTGTCCATATGCACAAATGATTTAGAGAGCATCAAACTTCCCTAATCAAAACCTCCGCAATACAAAATACTACAATAGATTCGAAATCGGAATCTATTCTCCAGCAACAAAATCCAATGCCAACAAAGGTTCATCAACTAGCTATATGGATCATGTGGAGACTATGGAAGAGTCGTAACATTCTTCTCCTCTTTCAACAGAAAAAATATTCCCTGGAGAACAACGCTGACTTTAGCGCAGAACGATGCCAAAGACTGGTTAGATTCACAACAATTTATTAGAGATACAATGATCCCTACACAGCAGAGTATCTCACGACGACCCGTTCTTCATGTGCAAAAAACATGGAAACGACCGGAAAAAGACTGGATCAAGTGAAATTATGATGGATCATATCTAACACTTAGAAGGAAATCCAAGGCTGGTTGGGTAATTAGGGATTATCAAGGAGATTATATGGGGATGGGTCAAGCTGAAAGTTCACAAGCAAACAATGCTCTAGAGAGTGAGTTTCAAGCCTTGATTATTGCTATGCAAAATTGTTGGATTAAGGGTTTCAAAAAAGTTATCTTCGAAGGGGACTGCAAAAATCCGGTCAAGCTGGTTACAAAAGAATCGCTGAACTCTGGAGTCTTTAATTGGATACGAGAAGTATGGCAATGGAGTAGGAAATTTGAAGATATCAAGTTTCAATGGATCTCAAGAGATGGAAATTTCCCAGCAGATATTTTTGCAAAGTCTGATATCATGGATAATCAAAGCTTTTGTTTATCATTTTTATGTTCCAGATGTAATTACTATGCTCTGCATTGTGACTAGGTTCTTTAATCTTAATAATTTTCAGAAGAATAAAAAAGAAACCTCATCTAGCAATTAAAAAAAAAAGAAGAATCTGATTGGGTTTAAAATGCAACATTGACCACGTTTCGCTGGTTAGGCATGAGAATCAATAACCGGAGAAGACCTTCTTGGCATAACTTGACAGGGTTCCTATGCTGTGTGAGGATTGCATTACTGTTTCCTAACAAAACATGAGCAATAATGTAACTCTCTCCTTTCTCATTTGCAAACTGCCATTCCCTCACAGTCAAATTGAAGTAGTCTTTCCTTGTAGACACCGTTGCTTTCACCTCCACGTACTCTATTTTACCACCTTGGCTTTCGATCAACAGGTCGTAAGGTAAACCGGTTTCGCTCTGCTCATTAACCCATCTAACCTGAGCCTCCTTGCCGTATTTTGCAGCAAAGTATCTGTAAGCGATTTCTTCACCTTTTTTACCCGTCTGTAGCGCTTGTGCAGCCCAAGGTGTGCCGGTGTGAAGTTGATCTCTTTCGCTGAAGTCAGCTGAGACGGAATTGTTCCATCCATGAAGAAGGTTTGGATTGAGGTGAAAATCAGCTTGATTCCCTGACGTTGAGCTACTGTTCGTATGCATAGATTGCAATATATTTAGCTGAGTAGCTTGTGCACTTGTGCCTGCACTATTATCATATCCAGCAACCAAGTTTGTATCGGTGATCTCAGTCGGTATTTGTTTTTCAAGAGCCTCTGTTACATTCTCTTCGCTGCTGCTAGCCTGACCAGAGGCCAGCTCTCGTTTAGAATCATCAATGTGGGTCTCGCTAGAACCATGTCTTGTTTTGGAACTTGAAGGTAACCAGCTCAAGGTTATTCCAGCTTTTTTCTTGGCTTTAAGAGCAGATTTTAGGACCCAGATCTTTTCACCATCAGGAACCTTCTGAACATTTTGACTGTTCAAAATGAATGATTCCATTTGCTCCTCTCTCAATCCAGATTCTGCCATTGTTTTGATCAAGTGAAGGAAATTTGCCAAATGTAGATCAGGAACTCCGTTGAAAAACAGTCGAGACAGTTCCATGAACAATGAATGAGAATCCAGATGTGGTGTTGTGTACAGAGCTTTATCCTGGAGACAACAAGATCAAAAATATAACATATCAGTAAAGTGAGCAACCTTCCGATTCTGAACATAGCACATGCTAATTTTCCAGAGTGGAACATACAATTCTGAAGTATTACAAAACCATTGTTGTGGCAGAAGTAAAGATCTACTTGTATATAAACAGAGAGGAGTCTCGAATAGCCTCAGAGCCAATGTCACAACTCTATAATTCAAAAATCTATTGGATAAATCATTGCAAGAAATATAAACAAAAGAAGACATACCTGCAGAAGAGAGCTGCATTTGAACTCCTTTTTAGAGCTTATGTCATATTGTGGTATGACGTTCTTATAGCACAACTTCTCAACAACAAAGACTTGTAGCCGCTTGACTTGACTATGGACAGTGTTTTTTGTTTGGGTATACTTCTCATGATGCAGAGTAAACATATATCGCTGAGCATAAGGCAGAGCCCAGTTCACAAGTGACACTGTTACACTATTATCTCGCAAACCTTCATATTTCGCTTCGCGCTTTACCACCTGGAAAAAAAATACGTAAAATATCACAGGTTACATTGGAGGTGTAAGGCCATTGAAACTTGTGTTACATAATAGAGAAGGCAACAGGCATATAAGTTCTACACTGGTAAACGTTAAAGCTACATGATGATGGTTCTCGCAGATGATTTTTGGAGTACAGTGAAACACATTTCACGAAAGGCTTACTCTTGCCGTTACATGTAAATCTAAGTGCTTGAATATTCGATATATGTTTGTGCAAGGAGAGGACTAGTTACCTCAGAAATACTTGGAATTCCCAAGCTGTGCATCAGCACAGATACTTTTGTTTGAAGCACTTCTTGCTCTTCGTCCACATTTTCCCCAAAGTAAATAAACTGAATATTATCCTTCTTTTTAAATCTTTTCTTTAACTTCTCATCGTCACACCAACATACGAGACCAAACGATGAGTGTAAGGAAACCCACTTATCACTTTCAGTAGGAAGGACAGTGAAGTCGAGTTCTGAAAGTCTCTCTTTAAAATGAACAACATCTTCGGAAGATTTTCCAGATTTCAAATCATCACTCCACTTCAGGAAAATTTTGAAGACCTGGAAATGAACTTTAACACTTTAGCAGAGAAAAGAAATTGATAGACGATAAACAGGACGAGACTGATTTAGTTAAGTAAATAACTTACAGCCTTGGCAGCACATGAGGGTGACACATAATGGGCGAACTGCCCTAGAATTTTAAGGTACTCTTGAAAAGAAGGCGTTTCAGGTACTCCACACCCATTCACAAAAAAGTCATGGAGACCTGGATAGATATTGCACAATGTTTTCCGATGCAATGATTCCACAACGCTGCTGATCTGCGAACCGATATCTTTTATCTCATCTAAAACGCCAGCAGAATCATTCCAGTAAACATCATCAACTGACAAGAATATTCCAGATATCAGATCATTCTGCCTACTTCCAATTTCGTGTGGGACAAAAACAGAAGGGAATGTATGGAGCTTTTCAGTAATTTTCTGCTTTGAATCAGCCATTTCATTCCACAAAAACTTGTAAAATCTGGTTGTCTGAGAGATGCTGCAAAATTAAAGACAACGTTGTACACCGTTAGAAAATGTAGCAAAGAACTGACTAGGCGACGCATGATGCAATAATAGAGAGGAAAAAAGAACTCATTTCAAAATAGATTATATGGACAATTTGTCTTTAAGTCCACGGTCTCTGTTCATACTAACCCAAAAAAAGTCATTAAAAACTGTAGAACTCGATGTTCCTGTCATCAGAACTAATATTTAGTGCTAACTATGCATCATAATCAGCAGCATAGTCATAGCAGTATATCATCCAATGCACGACAGTGAACAGTAGCTTAAATACTTCCTTATTTGTAACAATGAGAAAAGAAAACAGTACTTAAGAAGCACAAGGAATGTAGTTAAAATCAGAAAATTAATCTAGAAGAAATAAGAGGCAGTGATGAAAAACAATAGCACAAAGTTATAGTTTCTTCATAACCATATAGTTGTACCTTGATTTGAAAGAGTCTCCACAGTGTACCCAAGCTTCTAGGATTTCCAGAGCATCATCAAGGCAAACTTTGGTCTTGAAACCAATATCATTAAGTAATTTGACACTTGTAACCTGTTCCACAATAATACGAAGTTAAGCAAATAGATGGAAGAACTCCTTCGCTGAGTTAGACAATGTAGGAGGTCCATATGGTAGTAATTATCTAGCAAGACTTAAGATATTTAAACAACACCCCATCCCACAAAGAACCCACACCTCTAATTAAGTTTTATACGTCCGTTTAAAAAGACTCAAACGCCAATTTATTTGCTGCTTGTTTTAGAAATAATAGTTGTAATAGCAAGCACATTTAGTAAGAAAGGACCAAACCAACCTTCGGTACTGCATAGGGCGCATTCATGCCAAGTATTGACCGCACACCATCACAATCATGATAGAGGTCTTTTGCAAGATGAAATTTCTTGTCCATGCTTGAAACTACCCACTGAGAATCACAAATTACCCTCATAAATGAAGACTTTGATGATCTGATGACACCATTTGTACCCAAGTTAAAGTTAACAGTTGTTTTTCCATGGTAGCAATCATCCCACAGTTTATCAAGGATTTCCAAAAGATACTTGCAACCTTTGCGGCCATTACTTTTGTGCAAGAGAGACAAGAGATCAACAAGTTCCGGGGATTCCCAGTCTCTAACAGTTAACTCGGGAGATAACAAGTTGGTATCATACTTTTCATAATTCGAAACAGAATAGAATTCAGCAATGCTCTTTTCAACTTGAACCACTTGAACAAAATCAGCTATTCCAATCTCTTGAAAAAATTCACGCCACTCCTTCAATCCACATGCATAATATTTTGATGCTGGATGTTTCAAGTAGGTACCATCAACCTCATGCCACGATAAATCCAAGTTTTTGGTAAGCTTCTTCATGTTAACTTGGTTTCCAAATTCTTCACCGAAATGAATCGACGCCTCAGCTAGCTGTTTCAACCCATAATTTGATAATATCAGAGCTTTGCTTCTTAACTCAGAAATAATATACTTCCTCTCGTTGTGACAAGCATGGCAGCCAGATCGTAGATGTGTCATCACAAAGCATAAGTAATCTACCATTAAACCCTCCGGTGTACCTCTACCCTTTGCCTCAAAGGCTGGTAATATATGCACTTTGATGATTTCATGTGCTGACAGCTTTTGAACACCAACTGCGCAAAGCATGTTGACCAGGTCATCCCCAGCGTGTTTTTCATCAACAGAAGACGCTAAAAGAAGGGAATGATCAGTTATACGGAGATTTCCATATAATAGAGGAAATGCTTCAAATACATCACCAAGATCAGACCCAGTGGAGTCATGGTGCAACCATACTGCGCCTTCATCTAAAGAGGTGAACCTACCATTTGACAGGGGAATAAATGGGATCTTGTGAAGGCCGTCTATAAGAGTCTTATCTATACCTAACTCGACATTACCTTGGCTAGAAGATCGGAATAGAATGTAAAGTTCAGTAAGAATAGACGATAACCACGCAAAGCCCATTGATTTCAGACAATCTTTCTTGTGACTCAATGAAGAAAGAATCTGCACCAAAGTCTTAGGTCCATAGTCTTCAATGCCCAGTGCCCTTGACAGGGAATCTGACAAAATTATATCTTTGTGCAAAAAGCCCAGAGCAAGATGCTCCTGAAGCAATCCATCCTTAAGAAGAACCCTTATCTTTTCATTCCAGTTTCTTAAAACCTTGCAAGGAGGAACCCATTGTTCACCGTCTCCCTCAAGCAGCAAACAATTTGTTGTTCTCAATCTAGATATAATAGAACGAGGGAGAGAAGAAAAGAACCCATGCACTTCCCCAACGAGAGGTACGAGCTGCATGTATGAGGACACAGCTTTACCTAGACTCTGGGTGAAAGAAGGAAGACTGCAAAAGGAACTTAGAGCACCCACAAACAAACCCGGAAACTCTGACAACAACCACTGGTTCCAAGGACTATCCTCATCAACATCCTCCCTCGATGATGTAAGAATGAAATCCCCTTGTATAATAAATTTCAATCCATAAGTTCTTAGAGGAAGAAAAGCAAAAACGGGTTCTTGAATCAAACATGATCTGTAAGTTCCATCCTCCAGCAAATCAAGAGTAAATCCTATGGAAATCTCGGTTGTCTCAACGCCATCACGAAGATTGGCAGACTTTAGTTTCTCTGATGCCACAAACCATGTCATGCTATTTTCCCCACATGAAACCTTTACGATATTCTTACTCACAACCTCTTTCCTCATGATCACGATAGAATCCTCAAGCATGTTTCTGTATACTATGCACTGGAGGCGATGTAGGAAGAGTAATAAAGAAGGATGAAGGTCTGAAAACATAGGCTTAATGTGATGTACTGTTGTTTTTTCGGAATCAATGGCTCTGAAAGGAAGTGTAATGCAAGTGTTCCATCTTGCATCCTTCAGTTGTAAAGCACGGCCAGATAACATGTTGGTAAGTGATTCAATATCATGAGGAGGTACGACAGTGGGTAAAATGTATCCAATCTGACCCTCACTTATATCAAACTTAAAATGGAAACCATTTGAGTGGATCTCAGGAGCATCAGAAACCTGGAAAGCGAACACAAGAAAGAGTGTTAGAATAGATTTTTTTGAGAAAAGAATTTGCTATAAACCCTCTATAACATGAGGTTGAAGTTCATATACGTCATTTCAAGCTGCCATGTCTTTGAAGACATGTTTTTGAATAATATTCCTATAGCCAATTTCTTAGCTTAGCATACTATAATCCTAAACTCATTAAAGCTTGGGTTCAATAGTCGCATAAACAACAAAATCATACTCTATAAGATGAATTATGTTTGCCATACCCGAAACACTGATTTGAAGCCAATTCCTTTCTTCCCTATGTATCCACCAGATCCTTTCTTTGTTGATCGACCAACATCACACAGGGCCCGGATGTTCTCAGGCATGAAGCCACACTCATTGTTTAAAACAACAATACCAGTCTTCTGAAGAATGAATGTGAGTGTGGGTTCCACATGTTCAGGGTACTTATTGTCATCTGCATTTTGAACCTGAAGCAACAGTAGCAAGAGCGTCAGAGATTGACAAATTGAATGTCCATTAAATCTCTCTTATTTACACAAATAGTGATAAAGAAAACATCTAACAACCTATGCTATTGTCTACTTCAGCAGAAGAGAAACCCATAGATGTCCCTCACAAGGCCAATAAACATTTTAATACTGATTAACTCTCCCCAATACAAAAAAAAAAACAAATGATAACGGAAACATCTACAAGTTGACAGCATAACAGTATTGCCTAATTACTAATCATCTAGGCAGAGTAGAACTCGGTTATAGGATGCACATATGCACAAGACTGCACCAACTATGTATTCAAGCAAACCCGATTAACATGCTTGTAAGAGGATTTTGTACAAAGAGAAAAAGAAGGCAAGAATTCTCACGAGTTCGAGAATAAAGTGGGAATCTTGAGAATACAATTCCTGGGACAAACACTGAAGTGCTCTTCCTAACCGAGCATGTTGTTTCTGCAGCATACTCGTCTCAGCACCAGAAGAACTTGAATCCAGCCCAAACTCATCCCGTCTGATTAAATCAATAACAGAGGCTGGATTATCAAGAAATTCAGGTGCAGTTTGAGTGAAAGCCTCCCCAACAGAATCACATAAAGCCCCATCACCACCAAGAGTGTGACAAGAGTCATAAGGTTCTTTATTTTTTTCACACGATTTCTCTGATACGATCATGCATCTTTGGTCAGAATTAATTAGGTCCTCCGATTCTTTTTGCATAAAACCTGAGCCAGAATCTAAGTTGGACGAGGCATTTTTCACTGTTGCAGAGTTCGGGGAAAATGATGAGCAAAACTCATGGTAATCATTAATCCACTCAACAATGCCTAGAACCAATCCGGCATCATGCAGCATGATGCGCTGCTCTGTGTTCTCGCATGCAGACAAAACTCTTATAGGAGCATCTTTAACAACAGAACGTAGTCCCGATAACAAGACATCAACAGCTAAACTGCGAAACTCCCCAGGTAAATAGCCCAGACAATCAAGAAGAAACTTTGAGGCAGCATAATCACTTTTATCCACTTTAGTTTTCTGTTCTACAGCCACAAGAGAATTTATATCATTTACCTCCATCTCCACAGAATGGTTATCTAAAAATACTTCAAATGCACGTTTGGCGTAGCATTTTAGAAGGGAAAATGGTAAATGTGTTCGTCCATTCAGTGATATCAACGACAACAACTGCGCAGCAGTACGGTAAGCAGATCCTTGAAGAGCAGCCTCTAAGAATGAATCTGCTGTTGCAGAAGGATCTGTCCGGATAGTCTTACCATCCCTTGTCACTAGACACAACAGATCTTTCGAATTAATCTCATTTAAACATTCCAAAAGAGGACCATAGTATGGAGCAAACTTAAGATCCCAGTGACACCATGAGTTTAAGTCTGACAACAACGGAACCCTAAGCAAAACATCTAAGACCTCTTTGGATGAAACAGCACTAAGAGGTCTGCTTCTTGAGTCAGTATCATTTCCTACTGTCAAGGATTCTTCTAAATGCTTACTGGCCAAAGAGTTTTCCGCGCCCAACAATGTTGCAGAAAAGAGAACACATTTAGAACCAGATTTCTCCTTGTAGCTACCAATGATTCTAGTGAAATTTTCTTCTGAATCGTTTCCTACAACCTTGAAACTGATTGATGGAAATTGTTCTGCAAGCATTCGAGCTACCATCTGTCTAGATATTACATTACCACCTGAAAATTCCGAAGCTTGCGATAACAATAGAGTCAGCAGATTTTCATTAACGTGGACCTCCAAGGGAGACTCTTCCTGTAATTCTCTAGCTAGAAATCTTTGAAGGTGTGTTGGTAGCAGCAACATATGTTTTTCCAAGAAAGTGAAAAACCCACCCCAACCAAGAGACTCAAAATCCTGTACTTGAAATTGCTCTGCCAACAAAACCTCGCAAGTCTGTAGCTTCCTAAAGATACTAATGTGCTTCTCTCCAGAAATATCATGCTCAAAATACAAGGAAAGCCTTCTTATAATGTCTTCAACAGTGTTGCCTAATACATAAAATTGATCAGATTGAAAGGTGCAAGATAATGCATTCTCAGAAAACAGCATCTATTTTGAGTAATACTTATCATGATTGTACAGTGGAGCTTGACCATACAATTTGAATAATAATTTTAAAACAACAATAAACCAAAACTCAACATGAAGATAGAGACCAATTATATACTCACTGTGTTTTGGAGGCACAACAAGCTGAGTTTTGTTTAGCTCACTGTTTTCACTTGGCTTAATATCATCTACTTGATTTCCTGAGCCTGGACTAGTCATATCACTAGGGCTCGTTGTTTGCAAATTATCATATATGCTATCATACATCCCACGTTTCATTGAGGTTACCTGCAAATGCAACACAAGAGGGGAAAAATAAAATGAAGCAAAAATAAGAGAGGATGGATATTGGAAGCTCATCTCCACAATAAAAAATCACTGCACGCAAGCAAATGAGAAAACATCAGCTTTTTTCCATACATTTTTCAAATGAAATAACATAATATGAAACGCTTCCATAGCAAGTTAGCGTTCATTTTAACGGAGAAAAAAAAAACAGAGAAAATTTTCCACTTCTTTCTGCTCAAAGTGAAGAAAAAGTTGTATTCTTCCAGAACAACAAAAAAACAGCGCTTGGCATAAGCTTTGCTCTGGAAGCGTTTCATATTAATCTTATCTTTAAAGATACTCATTCTACCACAATGGGGAAAAGAAGCATGTCATATGTAGTGGATAAAAAATCACATAGAACAAAGGGGTCTTGATAGAACAGAGAAAGGTAATCAATCCACAGAAAACATCTATACTGTTCCAAAAGTCACATAAAAAAAAAAAGCTGGTCTTGATTAATAAAGAAAGATCAAAGTCAATATACAGAAAACAAGAGCATTCTTTCTCTAAACAAGATGCGAGACATTTCAATGTTCTAAAATAATTTCCTACGTTATAACGATGCATCATATTTCTTTGTGTTAGTTGAACATTACAAATCAAAAATAAGAAGTCACAGAGCAAAACCCGTACTCAAATACGGAAAACAACTGCAACTTTTTTTTCAGAAAAAGAAAATGAAATATCAAAAATAAGAGATTATAGTCCCTGCAACAGATTCCCCATTGCACCTATAAGTTTTGTGCACCCTTGCCGTTTTGTTCTCTTCTGATTATTTATAGGAGGAAAATCTGATTGCCAGGAAGAAACAAAGACACTTGAAGAAAGACACGGAAGCGTTATGAATGATCCACATAGTAGTATTTTTATCCTTTCCCAGCCTGCATCAGTGACATTGTGATGTGCTCAACTGCTCATACAGAATCAAAGAGCAAAGCTGAACTAGGGAAGTTTTCTACATTTGCCGAACTCAACTCCAAGACTTTGCAACTGGGTGCTAAGTCTCAAGGCAAGAGCAAGAGGCTTGAACCACACACACACACACACAAAAAACACAAGGAACAGAAAAAATAACAAGGGAAACCGCTTTAAACCATGTAGTTGTAGAAAAGACAGAAAAAGAGTAAAGCAAAAAGTAAAACGGGTAAGTGCAATAGAAAACGAGTTTGTATATAAATCGGGATAGCAAGGGTGAAACTATCTCCCATCCTATTCGAAAATAATTGCTCACTTCACACAAACCTAAAAATCATAAACCACATCATTTGGCACCTTCAAGGTGACAAAAACAACAGCTTTTGCTTCAACAAACTTTGATCGATGAAAAACAAAAAAACAGTGCTGATATATTTTAAGGAGGAAACTCTTGAATGTAGTAGCCAACCATCCTTTTGTTCTATCCAAATTGCGAGGAACGAGAAAACAGCCAAACCACAGAGAAAGAAAAAAAGCAAGTGTTTCAAAGACAAGAATACATCTTTGGATTAGGAGGCCGTCCAAGTAAGAAAAATGTGGACAGGATATACAGAAGAGGCATTATAATGAGTTAAAAACAGGACAGGTTTTCTTTGAGAGAGGTAATTTCTGAAATAATATTCTTCAATTGAACTATTTAAAGAAAGAAAACAAAGAAAAAATACATCCCAAGAAATCACACAAATTAAACATGCAAAAGTTTTAAACTAAAAGTAATATGACCACTCACAGCGACATTTAGTAATCCAACAAATGGAAATGATGACATTGCTTTAGCTCTTTTATTCTGGGCTCGTACTTCAGAGCCACCCAAGTTGTAAAAAGACAACATTCTCTCGACACACTACAAACAATAAACGAGAGTATTAGAAAAAGAAAAACAGCATGCGGCCTCCGCTCCTTGCTTAAGAAAATTCACTCTCGGATTCAAGCAAAAAGATATATCTGATATATGATTTGAACAGTCCTACAATCTCAATATACCCAACGTGGACTTACTGTAGAAATGCTAAGCTCTTTACAGTTGTCCTTCCAAATTGAAATGAACTCTCTCAAAGCTCCTTCAGTGAGTGTGAAATCAGCCTCATCGACATTGAAAACCTTCTTAGCATCAGAATCATCAACTGATTTAGGTATCTCTTGATTCGCATTCCCACTATGTAATTTAGAGGGGGCTCTTCTACGCACTTTGGAAGAATCAGATTTTTCATGATTACTTTCAGTCTTCCTTTTCTTATTGGAGCCCCCAAGCCGCTTCATTTCTTCCGCAACAGATGGATATGGACAACTACTGATATGGTCAGAACTACTAAGATTTTTAACCTCATAATCAATACTATCATTCTCATCTGAGCTTGATGAATCAAATCTTATATGCTTGCCACAATAATCCTTATGATGTAAAGCAAACGAGTCAGCACGCTCAGAGACAGTAAGGGATTTATTTCTCGATTGTTTCTTTGATGAGGGGATCTGATACTTCTGATGCAGTTCAGTCAGTAAAATTTTCAGTGTTTCACCTTCTTGTCTCTTTGCGTCTTGAATGAAAGATACATACATCCTATAAAAATGCATTGATCACATATAATCAGTTAATGCAGTTCATACTAGGAATAAGCTGAGAACGAAATATCTTACATAACTAGATCTATCGCAAAAAAAAAGAACAAAAAAGAGAACATATACAACCAATTAAAACAATAGGATGAGTCCAATTTCTACGTATAAAAAAAATCAACAAATTTAAGACAAACTCTCACATAAATTGCTGGAAAAGATAAAACCCTTAAGCAGGTTTAGATAATCCAAGAGAAACGATATCATACCGCAAACTCTGAATACGCACACCAAGTTTATCCTTGCTTGAAACTGATTTTTTATCAGCAACGAAACTCAGGAATCCATCAAGCTTAACATCATCTGTGGTGCACATATAGCTATCAAGAAACGCTATTATCTCCTCACTAGTGATCTGAACTGGGTCAGAAGAGCTGGATATGGATGGAAAATAGAGCAAGACTAGTGGATGCTGCGTCAAAGGTCCCAACTCTAGATCATCGAAAGAATCAACAAACTCGTTTCGGCATATAGCCACTTCCAAATCATGTAGTGTCACGATTCTTCTAGCCCCAACATAGCAGTGAATAAATGCATTAACCTACAAGACAATCAAGAAACGCACATCATTGCTAAAGATTCAAAGGCTTGACAGAAGGAGAAAAATCAAACCTGCACACTAACTTCATAGAGAAAGATTCACTCACCTTGCCTTCAAGGGCCATAAGTTGGCGAAGTGAAGGAACATCTTGCATTTGCACACCCAAGGAACGCCATGAATCAGCCTGAAGCTCTTCTAGAACCGATCGCGACACTCTAGTCGAAGAGACGCTCTCTCCAGAAGCAATCACTGATTTACGCGTCTTGTCGACGGCTTTATCGATCCGCATGACTTCTACTTTGCGCTTTGGCTTTGAGGAAGACTTCTCCGATGACCCGTTACCTCCTTGGATTCTAGACCCGCCACTATCATCACCGATAGCGAAATTAGAATTGGGGACCTCTTTGACGACCACATCAGTCCCCTGTATAACCTCTTGACGCCTTCGTTTCAATGAAGAGCTCTCGAAAGCTCCAGCTCCAACTCCGGTCGATCCACGGTTCTGAGAGACATCAATATCGATACTAGGGAGAGACTGGGGAGGGAAAGAGAAGCTTTGTCCATGAGATTGAAGGTAAACATTAGCGCCGGCGCCGAATTGGTGAGGGATTTGACGGAGAGGGAAGTTGAGATTCTGCTGGGTATGGAGATTAGCATTTCCGAAGGTGAAGCTAGGTAAGTCTGGGAAATTAGGGCGGTAAAAACTCGCCGGAAACTGAGGCAGAGGGTATCTAATTGGTTGTTGATGAACATTGAAATTGGGAAACACTGGATTCGCCGATTGAGGAAGATAACCACCGGGAACACCGTTGCCTCTGCCGCTCCCACCGTTCCCGGAGGCGCCTAGAGACCAGGGACCGTCGCGATTCCCTTGCATTCGTCGGCGAGGGAGTAACGACGAAGAAGTTTTGAAAAAGAAAAAAAGGTCTAAACAAAAAGAAGAAGAAAGGGTTTTAATAGTTTGTGGCTTCGGTTTATATATGAGAGGAGAGTGAGTCTAAGTCTCTGTTTGCGTCGGAGGGGTTAGGTTTAGGGTTGTTCCCCTTATGACCGTGCGTTTTGCGGATCGATTCAGGGTTTCTAAAAGGGATTTCAATTATTATTTTTGTTTAGCTTGTTAAAAAAAAAAGTAGGAAAAAAATGATTTTTCTCTGTCTAAAAATTAGATACAGTAAAAACTCTATAAATTAATAATGTTGGGACTTTGACATTTTATTAATTTATAGAGTTATTAATTTATAGATTTTAAAGAAAAAAATATTTCCTATTTTTTATTAATTTTGAAAGAGATTATTTTTAAAAAATTATAATCTTTAAGCAATTTTTTCTAATGTTAAAGATGATTTCTAAGAAAAATTTAAGTTTAAGTTAAAATAAATAAAAACATCATTAAATTCATATTTTAATAGATTATCTTATTTATATGTTTATATTAAATTATATTTATGGTAATTATTAATTTATAATATTAATGGGATCATATATTTACGTATGAGTTTTGTTAAAATTATTATCTTATTATCTTATTGAATCAAGTTATATTTTGAACTGGCCCAATTCAGAACCTAGAAAAATTATTAATTTATAATATTTATTAATTTATCGAGTATTAATTTATAGAGTTTCTACTGTAGGTTATCGTAACTAAGGATTAGATTATTAAGTAAATGATTTTTCACCACAATATTTATCTACCCTTAAGGTGATGATGTGTAGATTTCATCACCTTTTATTTGTCGTAGTTTATGTTTGCTTCCCCTTAGAGCATCATTATCGTAGTTTCTAACTGTGTTTCTTAGGGATTTAAATAAAAAAAGAAAAACCAAAAATACAGAAAATCAGAAATATCGATTCTTATTTAGGATCAAAAAGAACCGATTCTTATTGCTACGTGTCTTCGTTGCATTGGTTAAAAAAAAGACTGAAATTTTTTTCTTTCTTCTCTTCCCATTCTTTCTTTCTTCTTCTTCGACGATTCCTCTCCAATTTGATTCGTCTCCGCTGCTTGCCTTTCTTGAACATTTCATTTCCAATTCTCTTTATTTCTCTAGATTCGAACTACTAGTCACCACTTTCGTATCCACGTCTGAGCCGTAATCGGCGGTTACGAGTGAACGAGACGAAGAACCAAACGTCGTCGTCGTTGGCTTCGAAGGAGAGCAGCTGTGCGCCGGAGAGAGTGGTGGCCTTAAAAAAACCGGTGCTCTTCTCTTCACAGCGATGCCTCTCCGTGAAGCCGGTGCTTCTCATTTGCTTTTGCTTCTTTCTACTTCTCATCTGGTTCTTCTTCTTCATGTATTCTTCTCTTCTTTCTTACCATTTTCGTGTCTGCTTCTTCGTGTCTGCTTTGCTTCTTCATCGTGTCTGCTTCTTTCTTACCATCCGATCACACCATCTCTTCTACTTTGCTTCTCATCTGCTTCTTCTTCTCATCTGCTTCTTCTTCTCTTCTTTCACTTTTGCTCTTCTCCTTTTTTAAGAAACCTAATGAAATTCTACCAATGTACCATTGAAAATATTGGGTTTTTTAAGGAGGTTTTTTAACTCATGTTTAACAATAAAAAATTGTTAAGAAACTTATGAAAGGTTTTAGGGATAATGATGGTCTTATAAATAGATGATACTTCTCCATTTCATTTTGGATGAAACTGAAGTTAATTAAAAACTTCTTCTTCATATATCGTCGGTATACTTCCACTCACTTTCTCTCCTTCTTATACATATTATATACATACATATATATAAACAAATCTTGCCTTATCAATTATAGTTTACAAAACGTTATCAGCACGAACGTTTTTCGATCCGTTCTTATATCCAAAGAGGTAAGATTTAAATTTATATTTAATTTATTTTAAGTTTATGTATTATTTTGGGATGATAAGTGCCTTCCCCAAACCGTTAATTTAAATTTATGTTCAATTTATTTTAAGTTTACGGGATGATAGGTTCTGTCTTCCCCGAACCGATCGTATGATAGGCTATGCCTTCACGATCATATGATTATATGGTAGACTATGTCTCCCCAGATCATATTAATGGAGTGGAAGGCTAAGCTTCCTCCTTGATTTTATATTTGTGGAGTAGAATATTATACCTCCTCCTCAAAATTATAATAGGTTCTGCCTCCTCAATTATATAGAAAATTCTGTCTCTATATTGTCTAAGTATATATTTTTATTATACATGCATATTCAAAAGTTTTTTTATCATATTTCTTTAAAAACAAAAACTTTAATTGAATTTCCGCTAAATTTATGATATACATACAGTTATCATGTCAAATTTAGCAAAGCTCGAAATCCTTGCCATTGATGTGTCTGGTAAAAATTACATGTCATGGGCGTAGATGCAAAAATGCATCTAAGAGGAAACGGGCTTCTCGATACCATCAATAAGTCGGAAACGACATCAGATGAGAAAAAGGCGAAAGCCATGATATTTTTGCTCCACCACATCGATAATAGTTTAAAAGAGGAATACATCACGAAAGAAGATCCTGCAGATCTTTGGCAATCTCTCAAAGATAGGTTTGATCACCAGAAATATGTGATCTTACCGAAAGTCAAATATGAGTGGTTGAACCACTGGTTCCAGGATTACAAAAGTGTTGGTGAATATAATTCAGCTATGTTCGGAATTGCTTCCAGGATGATGTTATATGGACATGAGGTAAGTGATTTCGACATGATCGAAAAAACTCTCCAAACATTTCATCCTGGAAATGTAATCCTGCAACAACAATATCGGGCAAAAGGTTACACCACTTACTCGGAGTTGATGCAAGTCCTCCTTGTAGCTGAACAAAATAATCAGCTCGTGATGTTAAACCATCAAACTCGTCCAACTGGATCATCGCCATTCCCAGAAGCGAATGTTGCGTCATCCAGTGAAAATATTAGAACCGAACGAGGACGCGGGCGCGGTCGAGGCCGTAACCGCGGTCGCGGACGAGGTTGGGGACGAAGAAGACAAAATGATGTTGGTAGGGAAGCAGGAAAGCAAAAAGAAACTGCTTTTTACAGATGTGGCATGAAAAATCATTGGGCAAAAACCTGTCGTATGCCAAGACATTTAGCCGATCTGTACCGAGCATCACAAGATGCCAAGAAAAAAGATAAAGGAAAGAATTTTGAAACCAATTTCATCTCTGATGAAGCTGGACATTCCTTTGATGGCATAAGTGATTATACTCGTCTTGATATCGCTGATTTCCTTGTTGATCCTGAAGAATCAACGGATTCAAAGCGATTAAGATCGATGTAATATAAAGTCTTCTTGAAGAAGACAAGAAAAACCAATGTAATTTTAAATAAGAATGTAATATATTTTTGTTAACAAGAAAAGGTTTTTCTTGATATAAAATAATTTCTAAAATCATGTTTTGGTTTATAAATGCATTTTCTTGCATATTGTGATTCAGAACATGTCATCGTTTGAGATTCAGGATGAAGATACATGTCTAGCAGACAGTGCTACGACACAAACTATACTTAAAGATAAAAAGTATTTCTCCTGTCTCAAAATAAAGAACTCTGCCGGAAGCGTGAGTACCATATCTGGTATGCAAATATTATAATAGACTCTGGAAGAGCTAATTTTTCAATGCCAAGGGGGACAAAGTTTGAAACAAATGATGCGTTATATTCCTCCAAATCTAGCAGAAACTTGCTAAGTTTTTAAGATATCCGAGGAAATGGATATCATATAGCAAGTATATATAAGAATGGCATTGAGTATCTTTGCATTATATCTGAGAGGAAACATGTATTGGAAGAATTACCAATGATGTCCTCTGGGTTATATTGCACAAAATAAATATGACTGAATCCTATGTTACAGTAAATCAAGGGTTTACTAGTACATTTAAAGTATGGCATGAAAGATTTGGCCATCCTAGATCAGTCATGGTGAGAAGGATTGTGCAAAATTCGAGTGGCCACCCATTGAAAAACCAGAAGATTTTTCAATCGGGAGAGTTTTCATGTCAGACATGTTCTCAAGGAAAACTCATAACTAAGCCCTCACCAGCCAAAGTTGGGAATGAATCCTATGTATTCTTATAAAGAATACATGGTGATATATGTGGGCTGATTCACCCACCGTGCGGGCCATTTAGATATTTTATGGTATTAATTGACGCATCTAGTAGATGGTCACATGTGTGTCTATTGACCACAAAAAATATGGCTTTCGCAAGATTCATTGCCCAAATAATCAGGTTGAGAGCGCAATTCCCTGATTATGCCATAAAGAAAGTAAGGCTTGACAACGCTGGTGAATTCACTTTAGCGGCCTTTAATGACAATTGTATGCCATTAGGAATCGATGTTGAGCATCCGGTTTCATATATTCATACACAAAATGGCATGGCTGAGTCTTTGATAAAACGGTTGCAGTTGATTGCAAGACCGTTAATATTGAGAACAAAACTCCCAATAACTGTATGGGGACATGCTATATTACATGTTGGAGCATTGGTCCAGATGAGGCCAAGTGCATATAATGAATATTCCCCAATACAGTTAACATCTGGCAAGGAGCCAAATGTATCACATCTTCGTATTTTTGGATGTGCGGTCTATGTCCCAATAGCCCCACCGAAAATAACAAAAATGGGGCCACAAAGGAGATTGGGAATATATATCGGCTATATGTCACCAAGTATTATAAGATATCTTGAACTGATAACTGGAGATATGTTTACGGCACGTTTTGCCGACTGCCACTTTGATGAAAATGAATTCCCAGCATTGGGGAGAGGATCAAGAGAATCACCAAAGGATATCACATGGTGTACACAAACTTTGGCTTATCTTGATCCCCTACCCATCAACGCGAGGCGGAAGTTCAGAAAATTATACATTTGCAAAGCTT